TCTTGGTGTTGCCTAGGTGAATTAAGTACATGGTCTTGTTAGGTTCTTCCATAAGATGATCCATTATTCCTCCCGTCTAAGGCGCCCAAAGTCTATTTTGGAATGCCTCCAACCCTAGGTTGTGTGTTCCGAATACTAACATCTTGCCAAAACGTTCTTCTTTTTTATTATCTTCTTTCAAAGCATCTTCCTAAGCTTTCTTGATACTTGCTACAATCGTCAAGACAATTTCAATTCTAAACGCTCTTGGCCTTTTCCTCTCCAAGTTTATCTTTCTACTCAAATCATTTGCTACGACATTCGCCTTACCAGGGTGGTAAAGTATCTCGCATTCATAGTTGTTTAGTAATTCTAGCCAACATCTTTGTCTCATGTTTAATTCATTCTGATCAAAGAGATAGTGAAGACTCTTATGATCGATGAAAAGCTTACACTTCGTGCCATAAACGTAATGTATCCATATCTTCAGTGCAAAAACCACTGTTGCCAACTCCAAATCATGAGTGGGGCAGTTTGTTCGTGTGCTTTCAGTTGTCTGTATGCATAGGCTATTACTTTATCTCTTTGGGTCAGAAAAAAAAACCTAACCCAACTCTAGATGCATCACTATAAACCGCAAAGTCTTCAACTCTGTCGGGTAAAGCAAGGATTGGTGTTTCACACAATCGCTTCTTTAGATTTTCGAAAGCTTCTTCATGCTTCTCACTCCATGTGTAGGTAACTCCTTTCTGGGTCAATGTTGTCGACAAAGCAGGTATTAAAGAAAAGCCTTGGATAAACCTTCGGTAATATCCAACTATTCCCAGAAAAATACGAATCTTAGTGGGACTTTTTGGTCGTTCCCACTCATTACTACTTCAATATCTGAAGGATCAACCATTACACCTTCTAGGTTAACCACCTGACCCCATAATTGCACCTCTCGAATACAAAAATCACATTTGGAGAACTTTGCATACAGTTTCTCCTTCTTCAACACTTCTCGTGGGTGCTTGCTATGCTCATGATGGCTCTTTGAGTAAATTAGAATGTAGTCGATGAACACTATTATAGATCTATCCAGGAAAATTTTACAAACTTGATTTATTAGATCCATAAGCGCTGCTGGAGTACTGGTTAGTCCAAATGACATAACCAAAAACTCGTAGTGTCCATATCTCATTCGGAATGTTTTTTTTCAATATCTTGCTATCGTACCTTAAGCTGATGATACCCAAACCTGAGATCAATATTTGATAAGTAGCTTGCGCCTTGCAATTGATTAAATAGGTCATCAATTCTAGGTAAAGGGTATTTATTTTTCACCGTTACTTTATTCAGCTCTTTGTAATCTATACACATCCTCATGCTTCCATCCTTCTTCTCCACGAATAACACCGGAGCTTCCCAGGGTGAAGAAATAAGTCTTATGAAACCTTTGTTCAACAACTCCTGAAGTTGCATCACAAGCTCCTTCAACTCCATTGGTGCTAATATGTATGGTGCTTTCGCTATGGGTGTTGATCCGGGCAACAAGTCTATCCGAAATTTTACTTGTCTATCAGGGGGCAATCCAGGAAGATCTTCGGGAAAGACTTCCGAAAAGTCACACGCCACTAGTATGATGTACATCATTTGGTCAAATACTTTCTAGCTTTCATGATCGAGATGATTCTAGATTTTACTTTGTATTTGTCACCATACACCATAAATGGTTCTCTTCCAGGAGGGTTCACTCTAACCATCTTTTTCCTATATAGTATACCGGCATCGTTCGCACTAATCCAATCCATTCCTAATACTATGTCGAATCCGTTTAACTCAATGGGCAATAATTCCTATTGAAACTTATTCCTATTCAAGTCAATGATGGTGTTTTTCATGCATTCGCTAACAGGTACGAACATGCCACTAGCAACTTCTACCACTAGAGCACTATCTAGTCTATCTACAGACAATGCTAGTCTTCTACCAAATTTATGTGAAATAAAGAAGTAATTAGCTCCATAATTAAACAATATATTGGTAGGAAAATCATTTACTAGCAAAGTACCAGAAGTGACATCTGCTTCCTCCTTTGTTGCTTCCAGATTCATCTGGAATGCTCTCGACTTTGGCTTTGGTGGCACATTTAGCCTTGCAGCCTCCTTCTTCTTCGGGAAATCCTTTTGAATATGCCCATCCTATCCATAGTTGTATCACACTATATGTTGAATGTGAACTCATTGGAGTAGTGATCGATCCTCCCACATTCGAAACAAGTCACTTCACCGCTGCATCTTCCAGAGTGCTTCTTCTTGCACTTCTCGCACCACTTTGCTTCCTTGTTTCCCCCAAACTTCTTGACATTTGGGCCAGACTTTAATAATCTAATTTTATTGTTATACCTTGACGATCCTTCAATCTTTCTCTTTTCTCCCAACCCTTCTCTATTATTAAGGTGTCAACATTCTTAGCTACCCAGATAACGGCTTTTAAAATGGTTTCCGGCTTCACTGTTGGACCAAAGTCTGCTGGTAATCCGCTATCAAACCTTTTGATCTTGGAGAGTTTAGTTGGAACCCAGTAAGAAACTAGCTTCATTTTCTCCATAAAACTTGCAACATACTCGTTGACGGTCATCTTTCCCTTTTTCGGATTCTGAAATTCATTGTTAATCTCCAGAACGTCCTGCTCAGAGCAGTACTCTCTTTTCAGTTGCATAAGGAAATCTTCCCATGACATCTTACTGGATTCTCCTGTGGGCATGGTATCAGCCAATAACTTCCACCAGCTTAATACCCTAGTCTTTAGTCGTCAGACTGTAAGGACAGTCTTCTTCCTATTGCTACATTCCCAGCTCTTAAATTACATTTCCGTCTCGGAGATCCAATCCATGACTTCCACTGGTGTTCGGCTTACAAAAAGACTTGGTGGCTTGGATTCCATGAAGTCCTTGTACTTGCATCCACGTCCATCAGTTCTTCCATCTGCTTGATTTCTTCTAACCACACGTGGCTCAACTTAACTAACAGTCCGAGTTTAGTTTCCTACCTAAAATTGTTCTTCATTTAGATCAGGTTGAACAACGGGTGCAATTCATCCCTATTGTTTCATAGTATTTGTCTCATTTATTCCCTATGTTCAGCTAACATAGCTTGAATCAATGCTTGGACTCCTTCCATCGTGACAGGTTCAGCTACTAGCACAACTCCAGGTGCACACTCGATTACACGAGGCTCAGGCTGTTAGTTTTCGTTATCATTTCCTAGTCCACTTCGACTTCTCACCATGTTAATATATACACTAAAAATAGGATTTCAGTATATTGTGGCGCGAGTTTATTATAGGAGGTTTTGCTTATGTTTAGACGTATGATCGTCCTTATCCCTCTAAAACGTTATATGCCAGTTCTAATACATTAATTTATATGTTTCGAACCATGAACACACGTTGTCATATCGGGTTGAACGTGAAACTTCAAACGATCAAAACTTCTTCATATGAAGTTAGATTTCAACGTTCCTTATATCCTTAGAATCCTCATCACGACTACTTTAACTTTCATCAAGGCTATTTATCTTAATTAATATTTTATTTTAGTATTTTTTTAGCCCTATTTATTAAGTTTTCACCTAATATTATATACACACAATATAAACACATATATTCAAACAAAATTCATTTATTATATATAAAGAGGTTACAATTGTCGACCGATATCAATTACATCTATATTAATGTCTAGCGAGAATCACGGGCGTTACAATCAACAGGGACCAATGTAATTAATGCAGAATTTGAAATAACATGGGCCAAATTGTAATTAATGCAAAAGTTGAAACAACAGGGACCAAACTCTATAAAATTAAAATAACAGGGGACAAAAACTACAATTAAGGCAAATGTTGAAACAATACGGGCAAACTATAATTAATGCCAAAGTTGAAACAACGGGGACTAAACTGTAATTAATGCAAAAGTCGAAACAATAGGACACAAAGTATAAGTATTGCCAAATATATACTTTACGAACCAAAATTATATATATATATATATATATATATATATATATATATATATATATATATATATAAGCTTAAGTTATTGTATTCTAACTAATTATTGTGTGGATGTAGGAATGATTGTGGACCAATCATTTTAGTTATTTTAAGAAAGACATTTATCCATATTATTAAATTAAAAAAACAGAATAATACCATTTAATTAAAAGAAGGGTAAAAATGTACATTCCCATTACTTTCAAATTAGGAAACACAAATATAAAAAGGAAATTCTCGAATTTCAAGGGATTTTTTATATCATAATTTTGAATTCTGATTTTTTTAATTAATTCAATTTTAATTCTATCAGTTATTCTGTTAGAATGATGTTCTACTATACTGTTTTAGAATGTTATTCTAGTATTGAATCTAAAATTGAATAATAACAACATTTTAATATATTCATACACATCCAAACTTAAATACAAATTTATAAAAAATCTTACATACTGATACATTTTAATATGATTGTAAATATTCTAACAGAATGTCATCAAAATGAATATAATTCTTGAGAATAACATTCTCAAATATACAATTATTGAACAAATACACTTAATCTTCCTCAATTGTCCAAATAATCGACTTGTTTATACTTAATCTTCTTAATTGTTACTTGTTATTGAACTCAATTCCAAGTCCTTCTCTTGTATGATCAATCATTTATTCCTTCTTCAAGTCATTCTGAAAGAATAATTTGAAAAAGAAAAAACTAAAGTCCATTGTACAAATCTACGGACTTGTGAATTGCACCAAAACTCATAACCAAGAATTATAGAAAATACACAAATCACAGAGGAAATATCGATATTTAATTCCTACAGAATTGGAATTCGTGTACGTATTCAATAATAATTATATATAAAAAGTAGCATTTTTTATAAATTTTTATATACTCTTTCTACATACCTAGTTGTTTTGCATTGACAATGCTTGGGCATGATGATGGAGGTGGTGAGTTCTCATCCAAAAACGCATCTACTTGGTTTGGGTTTGACCAGGTTGGATACCCTTTGATTATAGCAAAACCAAACAACAAATAGATCTAAATATTAAAACAAATATGAAGGGGTAATGATGGAAAACTTACGACATCAGCTTCTTGAAGAACCTCATCCATTGATGATGCGCGTTTCCATGTGACAGGTTCTTCGCTACTAGCTTTCGAGAATTGACCATAAGCTGTAACAAACTTCTCTAGACGTGTGGCTTGGTAGAAATCATAATAAATTAAGTTCATCTTGAATCCTTCAATCTGATAATTAACCAAATGTTTTTCTTTTTCAAGTTTAGTTTAATCACGAAAGGGTAAGATGGTAAATTCCAACCCTTACCATCATTCTAGCGTATGCAGATCCAATACGACCTGCTCCAATCACACCAACAGTTTGTCCTTTAAGCAAATTCCCTACAAACCTGCAACAAATTTATAAAGAGTAATTGTTTAAAAAATTCAATAAAGGAGAAAATATTTTGGTTTTAGTGAAGGGTAAATATGGGATTTTACAGATGGGGAAGCCATCCATCGTATAGGCCAGCTCTCATGAACCCATCAGCTTCAACTATCCTTCTTGAAGCAGCAAGTGAAAGTGATGCTGCTAACTCTGATGTGGTCTTTGTAAGTACACCTTATGCATAAATCATAATTTTTGAAGTTTTAATTTCGATTGTTGGTTTTGTGAAGATAATAAAAACTTATACTTATATTATTGATATGATTATGAAGTATGAACTCACAGGAGTGTTTCCAACAGCAACACCGTTACTTGGTTGCTGCATTGACATCAACATTGTTGTAACCCACAACCATGTTCTGCTGAAAGCTTTTCCACCTGCTTTTATCAATGCATAAAACAATCTCTCCCCCAATCTTCAGTCAACTAAAACCCAAAATCGATAAATATTCAATAAAGGAAATCAGTTTCCAGATTCCTAGCAACTCTAAACAATCCAAAATCACCAGAAAAAACCCAATCTATGGTGATTGGAAGGAGGAAAAAGTGGTCGGCGGTGAAGAAGAAGGAGAAGGGAGTTGGGTTGATCGATGGTGGTGGCGGCAACAGCAAACGATGGTGGTGGCGATCTTCTTTGGGCGTTGGTCGATGGAACTCTCCGTCTGTAATACCTCTCCCTCAGCCATTGAGTGACTTATAGGTTTTGTGTTGCTGGATGATGGGGATGAAGAGGCGAAGGGGAAGACAGCGGCAACAAAAGTAGCTCCGGCGACGATATAAGCTGAAGGAGATGAAGAGTCACCGGAGATGATAAGAGGGAGATGTGATGTAACATCCCAAAATCCAAGACCAAAAATTTCATTTTAAATATTATGAATTATAAAAACAATTTGCAAAAGAACATCATCAAGTATTTTATTTCATAAAACCATAGTTCACGTGTCTCAAAACCATATCATCAAGAATAACAATGTCAGAGTACAATCCCAAGAACATCAAGTGCGGAAAATAGTGGTGTGATGCGCTGCTACCGTGTCGGCTCCTTTCCCTTCGACGAAGAAGGACCTGAAACAAAAACTGTAAACCGTAAGCACAAAGCTTAGTGAGTTCCCCCATCATACCACATACCTAACATAACACATATTGTCTAACATATATGGGTACTGACTACCCCTTCGGTCTCTTTCAACCGGTAACTTGCCTAGCATATCAGGGTGTTGGCCTACCCCTTCGGTCCTGTCGACCGGTACCTAGCCTAGCATATCAGGGTGCTAGCCTACCCCTTCGGTCCAGTCGACCAGTACCGGGGACTATTTCACCCCTACTTCTACCGCATAGCATCCTAGTGCATAACATATAAATCATATACTGCCCAGCTTATACGGTGCCGGCATACCCTTCGGCCCTATCGACCGGTACTAGGGTCTATCCTACCCTTTCTAGCATTATCACATATCATCATAGCATACTAATACATAAACATAACATACTATATAATTATCACAAAGACAATCATCTAACAAACATCTCCTACTAGTGGGCCGGCATTGGGTCCTTAGACCCACTTCTACTGGAAGGTAACTCATCTCGATGTCGTGCAGTAACAGAACTGTCCTCGGTGTTGGGATCAACTCTCCTCAACTCCTACACATATCAGTATCCTTTAGTTACACCTTCATATTCATATCCCCTTTAGGGGTTAATCTTGGATAAAGGTCGAATTCAAAGTCAAAGTCAACGCTCTGGCCAAAGTCAACATCCTGGTTGACTCAACTCGCCGAGTTGGTCCATCAACTCGTCGAGTTCCATAATTCAGAGAATCTCGAATTCGCGATCTGACACGTCAAGTTACCCTCTAACTCGCCGAGTTTCTCCTTATGACAGAAGCGGGACTTTCCATTTGAACTCGTTGAGTCCTTCCTTGGACTCGTCGAGTTCTCCTTCATACAGTCAGGAAAGTTGCTCACTGACTCGGCGGGTTCATCCTTGGACTCGTCGAGTTCTAGACCTTTAAGTCCAAAACACGTCTAACTAGATGAGTTATCTTCTAGACTCAACAAGTTGCTAGGTAACAGAGAAGGTTAGGGAACCAAGACCCGACTCGCCTAGTCCTAACAGCGACTCATCGAGTCCCCATGATCCAAATTCGTCCAGTCGATTTTAGTCGGGCTTAAATCATCCAAAACATAGATCTGGCCTCCTAGGGTCGATATAACACGTAAAGTTACAAACTTTACATTCATGCATGGGCTATTTAGATCAAAAAGCCCTAAAAAGTGGTTCATAGGATGCATGGGACTCCCATGGCCATAAAGTTGGCACCTTTATGCCATGGAGTCCCTCAAGGACTCTGGATCTGAAGTCAATACCCCAAAACATGCATGCATCCATGAAAGGTTACAAAATTGGCTCCTTAAAGCCCTAAACTACTCCAAGAAGAGATCTAATAGATGAATGGACAAGGTATAGACTTTATACATCAAATGAGCTGGAAATGGAGCGCAAATTTTGGATCTACTTGCTTCCTCTTGAACTTCCAAGCTTCCTCTTCCTTCTCAAGCTTCAAAACCGCTAAAAACACACAACAATGGCTCAAGAACACTCAAAATGGGTTAGGGTTTCGAATTAGGGTTTTCTGGACTAAAGGAGGCGATGAGGGAGGCCACAATGGGGGTGTTAAGGTGTTTAAATAGGGTGAAAACTCTGAAAATTAGGGTTTCACTCTAGTAGGCCTACTCGTCGAGTCGAGTCTCCGCGACTCGTCGAGTAGACTTCAAGTCCCGCGTCCCCATATCCAATTCCTACTCGACGAGTTTGGGGGCCTCCAACTCGTCGAGTCCCTTTGTAAAACTGCAAAATCCTTATTTAAAATACGTATCAGGAACCGGGCGTTACAAATCTCCCCCACTTATTTTAGACTTCGTCCTCGAAGTCTGCTGTTGCATCTGGAATAAGCTCGGGGTAGTGCTCCCTCATCTCGTCCTCCGGCTCCCAAGTCCATTCTGAGCCCTTGCGGTGCTACCATTGCACCTTCACAAACTCGACCTTCTTGTTCCTCAGATCCTTCGTCTTCCTATCGAGGATGGCTACTGGTCACCCATTGTAGTTCAGGCTGTCATCAACCTGAATATTCTCTAAAGGCACCACCGCAGAGTCGTCTACCAAGCACTTCCGTAGCTGAGAGACATGAAAGGTATTGTGGATCTGACTAAGCTCGGCTGGCAGATCCAGCCATATACACTACCTTGCCCACTCGGGCTGCAATCCTGAAAGGACCAATGTATCTGGGGCCCAACTTGCATCGCTTCCTGAACCGGATGACATCTTTCCAAGGTGACACCTTCAGAAGAACCCTATCCCCGACCTGAAACTCCACGTCCGATCGGCATCTGTCGGCGTAGCTCTTCTGCCGACTCTGAGCAGTCTGAAGCATGTTCCTGACCTGCTGGATCCTTTCTGTCATCTTAAGTACCACCTTGGTACTCCCCATGACCCTCTGTCCAACCTCACCCCAGCATATTGGGGTTCTGCACTTCCTCCCGTATAACATCTCGAAAGGAGGACGGTCGATACTTGCGTGGTAGCTATTATTGTAGGAAAACTCTGCCAAGGGAAGGTAGGTATCCCAGCTACCACCGAAGTCTAATACACATGCCAGCATTTCCTCCAAGGTCTGGATGGTCCGCTCACTCTGACCATCCGTCTGAGGGTGAAAAGTCATGCTAAAGTGCAGACGAGTACCCAACTCGTCATGGAATTTATTCCAGAATCTGGAAGTAAATCGCACGTCTCGATCAGAAATCACAGAAGCTGGTACTCCGTGTCGAGCTACTACCTCTCTGATGTAGATATCGGCCAACTTCTCGGCCAAGATGCTCTCCTGGATCGGTATGAAGTGAGCACTCTTGGTCAACCGATCCACGATGACCCAAATCGAATCCACCCCTCGTGCGGTCCTGGGAAGCTTTGTGATGAAATCCATAATAATATCTTCCCATTTCCACATGGGGATATCCAACGGATGCGTCTTGCCGTGAGGCCTCTGGTGCTCGGCCTTGACCTTCCTACAAGTCAGGCACCTCTCTACGTACCAGGCTACATCCTGCTTCATGCAGGGCCACCAATAATCAGGACGAAGATCTCTATACATCTTTGCTGCCTCGGGATGAATAGAAAACCTGGATTTGTGTGCCTCCTCCATTAGAACCTGGCGCACATCTTCATGATATGGAACCCACAACCTACGGTGTAGTGTCAACAATCCACGGCTATCATATTCGAAGGACAAAACCTAACCCACAATACGCTCGCTCTTCCCATGTTCCTCCTTCATGGTCTCCTTCTAGGCCTCTCGGATCTGCTCCAAAAGCAAAGTCACTACTGTCATCCGCAAGCAAATATCTCTGATCGGGGCTGCATTGCGGCTAAGAGCATCGGCCACAACATTGGCTTTCCCCAGGCGGTAGAGGATCTCACAGTCGTAATCCTTCACCACATCTAGCCACCGACGCCGCCTCATGTTCATATTCGGCTGATCCATGAGGTACCTCAGACTCTTGTGATCCGTGTAAATGGTACAACGGACCCCATAGAGGTAATGTCGCCAAATCTTGAGGGCGAAGACAACCGCCCCCAACTCCAGATCATGTTTCGGGTAGTTCACCTCGTGAGGCTTCAGCTGCCTCAAGGCGTAAGCGATGACATGCCCTCTCTGCATCAATACTACGCCCAAACCCAAAATGGACGCATCGCAGTATACTATAAAATCCTCCACGCCCTCGGGCAGGGCTAAGATCGGTGCCTCGCACAACCTCTGCCTGAACGTCTCAAACGCTTCCTGCTGCTCAGACCCCCAGCGAAATACAACGGCCTTCTTCGTCAGTCGGGTCAAGGGTACTGCTATCTTGGAGAAGTCCTGAATGAATCTTCGGTAATAGCCTGCTAGCCCTAGGAAACTCTGAATCTCAGATGGATACTTCGAAACCTCCCATCTCATCATAGCCTCCACCTTGGCCGGGTCAACCAAATCCCGTTTTGGTTGACAAGGTTCCCCAGAAACTGCACCTCGCGCAACTAAAACTCGCACTTGGAGAACTTGGCATACAAGCTCTCCCTCCTCAAGGTATCCAACACCTCTCGCAAGTGCTCCTCGTGTTGTGCCTGCGTCTTGGAGTAAACCAAGATATCGCCAATGAAAACAATCACAGACCGATCCAGCATCGGTCTGCACATGCGGTTCATGAGATCCATGAACACGGCATGAGCATTGCTGAGCCCGAAGGGCATCACCACGAACTCGTTTAGTGAGTCTGAAAAGCAGTCTTTTGCACATCCTCC